ACTTATCAACATTCAACATGATTGTTAGCAGATTATTGGTACAGTCCTGTCGATGATAAAAAAGGGAAGAGAAATGTAAAATTATATTAATTATAACAGTGAGTATTATGTTCTCTGGAAGCACAATTTCGAATTCCTTAAGGAGGCAGTGGCACTGAGCCATGCAAAGAGTTTCTATCGTTTCCATCTGTATCTGGAAACGATTGTTTTATCGACATCGTTTATTTTCGTTTCTTTATCTATACTCAGTTTATTTCTGACAGAAGGCCAGTTTTATGGCGTCTATCCAACTGTTTCTCTTTATGTATTTTCTAAACAAGCACACACACACACACACACACACACACACACACACACACATATATATATATATATATATATATATATATATATATATATATATATATACTAGCAGAATGGCTCGGCGTTGCCCGTGCTTGATTCAAAAATCGTACGACTCATACAGCAATCGCTATCACTTGAGTTAAAATATTTTTGCCCTTCCTTGCCTTTAAAGAAGTGCCCTTTGCCGTGCTGATGTTGCTACACGCCTTACTTCTTTCCTATCTTACACTGCGATTTTTTCTAAGTTCTATACTAAACATTAAATCTGTTACGAAAAAAAGAACTAAACAAAATGAACACAAAACAATCAGCTTTAAAAAACGACTCGGAACTGGAAAAACCGAATGAAAAAAAAATGTTAACAGCAAATACTTTTTCACACCCAACCCAGTTCTGCGGAATCAGGATCAACGTTGAGTTTAAACAAGCGAATGAGCCAATTGGAGTAAAGTGCCATACAAATTTAAATTTTTCCCACTTGTGACGAATGCAGCTATCGATTTTTTTTTGCATGCTAGCCTGCTAGTTAACATTCGTGTCAGTTAGCTGTTGGCTCTCACGCTGGCCAATAGAATCTTCTTGCCTATTCGTGGCTGTCAGATATTGTCTCTCACTCTGGCCAGTAGAAAATGGCCGCAAACATGAAAACTGCCGTAGAAGCATGAAAAAATCGAATATATACATATACATACATACGCATACACATATATATTTTTAAAATTCCAAGAGGATAGAATCCAAGTAGAACTCAATGTCCAGGACAGAGTAAGAAAAGAAAAACAGACCACTTTAAGGTTCCATTATAATAATTTATTTCACCAGAGCCCTTTTAAAGGACTCTAGCGAAACGAAATGAAATGAAATGAAAATTCATACTTTTGAAGGATAGTGTAAGTTTTTGTAATTTAACAGAGGGGGTAATGGGGGATAGTTTGAGAGACATGGTCGAGTTTAGAGAGCGTTTATTTAATATATCTCTCAATCATACTTAACGAAATTATTCCTACACCCATCAATTTTGAATATTTTTTATCCATCTCTTAGAATCCAATGCCCGTATGATGCCAGGTTGTTTATATGTTAATAAGAACAAAAAATAAATAAAATAAAATGAAATAAAATAAAAAAAAGGAATATAAAACTCAATTTTTAGAACAACTGGTTGAATACAACAAATTTGAGAGGCGAATAATGGAAAGGACAAAAGTATTCGTACAGTAGAAAATATCTTTTTCAATTGATTGATTCGTGTAAGTATATGTAATTTACATAATTATTTTATCGGTGAAGCCTTCGACCCTATTTATTCAGTAGAATATTTGTGATAATTCCAGCCAAGCTCCTCCCGTGGAGGATGTATTTATTTTTTGTCTGTCCACTTTGTCTGTAGATACTGTGGACACGTCTGAATGGGCCTTTGTGATTGTTTTTGTGCCTTGTCGTTGTGATTTTTAACTGTGTGTTTCTTGTTCCGTGAGGGAGAATACCCGTCCTTAGATATTACAACTGAATAATGAGTTCGATTCATATTTATCTATCTACCTACATTCAATATGTACTTGCCCTCCAGCTGAACTAGTTCCATAATTGTTTTTCATAGACCACTTACAAAGCTAGGATTTCGTTATGCTAAATTTCAAAACAGGCAAGCTCCTTAGCTGACACAGAAAATGACTAAGACAATGTTTTACACCCACTTCCCCCATTAAAATATGTTTTAATTGTCTCTCTGACACACGCAAACACACACACGCACACACACACACACACACACACACACACACACACACACACACACACACACACATATATATATATATATATATATAACGTATGTGTGTGTGTTTGTAAAATTTCAGATATAACTAAAATTTATAAATATTTTAGTTATATCCGAAATTTTACAAACACACACGCATAAGTTATATATATAATTATAGAAGCTTATTAATATCAAAATCATTACAACGATACCCAAAACTATTATGGATATGATCAGAATCAAAAATACCCACAACAATAATAATTCTGAAGCAGGTATATAAAAAATAAAATGTCACGATTGCTCTTCAAGATATGTTGGGGAAACTTGCAGAAATTTCAAAAAACGTGTCTATGAACACAAAAAGTATGTTATACACAACAATTTATCAAATACATTAGTTATACATAGAAATAAATTCAATTATAACTTTCATTTGAAGAATGCCACACTTATTAAAAGGGAAAGTAACTTATACAGACGGAAAATACTTGAGAGTGTTGTAACTGAATCTGATCAAAATATAAATCTGCGCCACGATTATTTTAAAATATCTCCATTTCTGAAAGGATTAATTCTTTCCCAAGCCAACATATATGACTATAAAAATGTTAAAAAATTAAAAGAACATTGTTAAATTCATAACCTGTTTTTTTTAATATATAATACGTAAATTTATCCCATGGTAAAATAATTTATATAATCATTGCATAAAAAGTTCAACAACCACATCATTTACGCATTTTGCTTTATTAGACATTAAATTATGTCACTTAACATCTTCCATAATTTACCTAAACTTCTCAGTTAACCTCATGAATAGTTATGAGCGTCTCGTAAATTAAAAATTGAAAAACTCAACACAAACATTTTTACTTATGTTTATATATACATGCTGTAAAACAACTAATATTAATTTTTCAAAAAAAAATTGTCTCCCTTGCATAAGCACCCAACATCAAGAATTATGTTTTAAATAAGCTCCAACATCGAACAAACGCACCCCACGATACAGAAAAAAGATGAAGCGACATAGTAGAGCCGAGAGTTCTATCGGGGCTAGTTGCTTTTTTTGAAAATGTATTGTTTTGACTTTATAAATATGTAAAGGATAAACCGAATTTGATTGGATTTTTCAGTAAGCGCCTCTTTCTGAAGTTCCAATCTGTAAATAAGCGACTGACACTTATTCTAGCAAATACGACATAAATGACACCGATTAGACAGTGAATATTTCAGATCAAATTTTAGCTAATAAATTATGCTCAGGTAACATATTTATTGATCCATTGTTGTAACCTACATGTGCGGTTGAAAAAAGCACTATTTTCCCAGACAACAGTGGTTACTATCCGAACCTAAATTAAAATTAACAATGTTCAAGACAAATTTCAAAAGCGCACAAACATAATCTTCTGTGCTGCCTTCCTTGAAGACGTTGGCGATCATTCCTCTCTACAATTTCCTTGATAAAATTTGTCTTTTTGCTATCTCTAATGAAACTTGTTCTGCCGTCCATTTACTCGAGGTCGCTATGTACAAATGTTGAATCAAAAGTTAAACGCACTTTCACCATAACATATCTTTAAGTATAGATCCGCTAGTAGTGTGCACCAAGGAGTATCAAAGAACAGTGATTTGATTTCTCTGATCGGAAGGTGTGTCAGGGACTGAAATTCAACGAAGGATTTTAACACAATACACTGACAGTGCACTACCATTGTGCTCAGGTTTACACTGTAGCAACAGCCAAGAAAACTGAAGCTATCAAAGCTCAAACTTCGATTACCTGACCCCAATAACACTAGCTAAACACATGAGCAGAAAGAAGTGCAACAATGCTAAAGATGCTAATGTTAAAGGCGAAATTTCAGATAATTTTTAACTTACTCTCATGCATTTTTTCCTTTGTCCCTCTTGCCTTCCATCGGTCCTGCGAGAATCAAATTTTTGAAGCCCTCTTATGTACCCTAAAAATTTAAATTGTCTCTTCCTGATGTTAAGCAGAAGTTTCTTTTTTATTTCTATTTTCTCTAAAACTTCGTCATTGCTCAAATGTTCGGTCCATGGTATTCTCAGCATCCTTTGATGAACGACGTTTTTTGTTGCTTCAAGCCTCTTATGTGAGATTGTCCAGCATTCACTGCCATATAGAACTGACATTATATAACAATTCAGTGCTCTTTTCATCATTTCTAACGACATTTTCTTGTTTTTTAATACTTTGTTTAGATTTTGGAAGGCATCTTTCGCTATTTGTATGTTGGGCTGATTCTTTTGCTAAGAACAATGCATTTTATCTTCTTTTGTTCTAGCTTTTCTTTACTATCTTCTGAATGGCATTTGCCTGGCTAAGCTTAGTTTATTAAATATCTATATACGTATATTTCTATTTCTACGGTAAATCTGTCTCTTGTATCCTATTCTATCTTCAAACACTCACTAGTTTGGCATCAACTGTATTGGACATCTTCTAGTGATCGGTATTTGCTTCTATTTAAAAGAAATGTGTTTTGAATGTTCAGTTTGAAGATTGGCTACCCCTCATCACTCAGTAGATTGGTAGAGCACAATGTCCATCCGCGTGAAATACCTTGGAGCATACGAAACAAAACGTGGAAAAGAAAATGCTTGTTTTGATTGATGCGTAGAGTGATTATTTGTTCCATGGAAATTGAAAGAAAACGACTGTGAATTGTTTTTATTTTATAAATTAAAAAAAATTATTTGTAAATAACATGATATTAGAGTCGAAACCAGAAATTAAATTCATCGAATCATTTATCAAATCGCTTTATTTAAATGTCTCTCACGCGCAAATAAATAAAAGAAAACGGTGTGGCAGTTTTTTTCCCTTATATTATTTTAGTCACCGATAGATAAAGATTAATTGTCAAATTTCAACTTTTCGAGGCAGCTGATGGAGGAGGAGAAGAAGAAAGACGACGACGACGACAGAGGAGGAGAAGAAAGACGACGGAGAAGAAGAAAGAGGAGAAGAACAGACGAGAAGAAGAAGACGAAGAAGAAGACTGAGAAGAAGAAGACGAAGAAGAAAAAGGAGAAGGCAACAGACAAGAAGAAAAAGAAAGAAGGCAACAGACAAGAAGCGGTAGAAGAAAGACGATAAAGAAGAAGAAGAAGAAGAAGAAGAAAGAGAGGGAAAAGAAGAAAGACGACAGACTAGAAGAAGAAAGAAGAAAGACGACAGAGAGGAAAGAGGAGAAGAAAGACGACAGAGAAGAAGAAAGCGAATACGAACAGACGAGAAAAAAAGAGAAGTAAGGCAACAGAAGAAAACGAAGTAAGGCTACAGACAAGTAGAAGTAAAAGAAGAAAAATGACGGAGAAGAAGAAAAAGATGACAGAGAAGAAGAAGAAGAAGAAGAAAAAGAAAACGACGACACATGACAGACGACGACAGAGAAGAAAGTGACGACGACGAAAACTACAAAGGAATGATTCTCACGTAGGCATAAAACATTTTCGTCCTTATTTTGTATATTTCTAATGATAAAACTATAAGTGAGATGAAGGACTGAATATCTAGCTATCTAATTCGATATCAGATTGATCACTTTGTTATATATATATATATGTGAAAGTTTACTATTCTTTCTTTGACAATCGAATAACGGATAAACGGTAGAAAATGGTCATTAATTGAAAAAAAAACCGCTGAAAAATTGTACACCCACGTAATATCATTCTATTCATTTCTCTAGTGGTATATATATATATATATATATATATATATATATATATATATATATATATATAGATAGATAGATAGATAGAGAGAGAGAGAGAGAATAAATTTGGAAAAATCTCCTAATATTTTTATATGTAATATTTATAATACAAATAAAATATAAATATTAAAATTAAAATTGTGTTACAAGTTGGTTTTCAGAAAAAAAATTGTCTCACTTTAACCGGTTTCGCTTTTAGTTTTTCAAAAATTTTGTAAAAGTTTGTATTCTCACATGTTGACGCTTGTGTCTTTAACAAATGAAAAAATCAGGGTGTGTAACTGGTTTTATGTGTCGCTTGTGGTGAGGAAAATATGATAGAATCTATTTTGAGGAAGGTGTCTCAGTTTTATATAATGAACTGATTATTCGTTTAACTTTCTGATAAAAATGTTTCTTTATTAATACGCTTTTGTTTGGCGGTTTTGTAGTCGCATTGGAAGAATGGAAATATATTAAAATTTGCACGTGTTGGCTAATCTCTAATTTCTTTATGATGAACTTTCATCATTTAGAGTGTTTGATCAGTTTGCATGTTATTATGTATATTAAATTTCTCTGAGTTGCACGAAAAATTCAATTTTGAATTTGGATCCATCTTTGAAGTGATATTCATAGCCTTCTAATAGGTAGCTGCATATTCTTCAGAGTGGGTTCGGTTGCATCTTTTCACCTGAGGCTCTTTAATCGTGGTCTGCAGTTTTGCACTCATCAGTAACTTTTTTTTGTGACTTTGGTTGTCTTTTAAGTTTTATGGTTGGATATTTTTGCAATAGGCTTTTCATTTTTTGTCCTTTAGTAGGAGTGATAAATTTAGTTGTATGTATGTGGAGAATTCTGTGAACTTTGGGTTCAAACTTGAGATATAAAGGATGACCATTTATATTTTTGTTTCTTGCAGTGTGTGGATATTCATTTGTTTTGCTTTTTCAATGTTATTGTTGATTAAACATTTTGGGTATTTTCTCTTGATGAGTATTTTTACATCTCTTCTAGTCTATGGTCTCTTGTGTTTGAGAATCTTGTACAGTTTCTCTTGACTAGATGTTGGTACGAGTGTGTTTCAGATGGGAAAATGTAAAAATGAGATCATGTCGAGTGTCAGGAGGTTTAAAATACATGTCTGTTTTTAGTTTAGTGTTTCTTTTGGTCTTAATATACCTCAAAAGGGTCGTTTTTTATGTTTCCGTACTCCACAATAATTTGGATGCCAGGATGTATTTAATGGTTGCTTGGAATGCCTTTAGTTTATAAAGATTTTCATTCCACTGAATGAAGCAGTCATCGATATATCTTTTCCAGTTTCCTTTTATGTAGTAGCGGAAGTCATTCCCATACAATTCCGAGGTTCTTTCATAGATATTTATTTCATGGTATCCTTTGACTTTGTAGGCATATGTTGGTACAAACTATGTCCCCATGGTTGTTCCTTAATTTCGTAGCTAGGGTGTTTCATTGAGCATGAAATAGAGGAATTCAAGGTGTTTTATGATGAAATTTCGATTGATACGATCTGGTATGCCATGTGAGAACGTTTCTAGTCAGTATTTAATGACCTCTAGTACGTAGTCATGTTGGGTGTTGCTATATAGTTTCACAATATCCACTGGGACTATGTAAGTATTATGGTTTGCCTCGTTTGGTAGATGATTGAGAAAATCTAGATGATCTCGTATGAAACTCCGAATGTGTTTGATGAGAGGTTTTAATAAGATGTCTAGGAAATTGCTTAGGCGGTGTATCTCAGAAATTAGGCCTGCTATTATAGGTCTTAGTTTTAGATCGGTCGGTGCAGGTATATTCGGCTTTTGTTGTATTGCTTGTTTTATCGATGAGTTTATTTTTGTGTACTTTACTTAGTCCATAAAAATTGCTTGTTTTATATCTAAAGTTGGGAAGATACATTGCTCAGAAGTTAGACAAACTCGTTATAGATGTATTAACCTGGTGAGTTTTTCATTACTTTATAAGGTTGGCATTGTCTGGCTTCTTCATAGTATATATCGTCCTGTAGTATATTTTGTATGATGCTTGTATACACTTCTCTATCCATGATACATATACGCCCCCCCCACTATCAGCTTCTTTTATAACAATATTTTTGTTCAATTTCAGATCGTTTTGAAGGTTGTCTGGTGAATTTGGACGTTGGGCACTTCCAGTTTGCCAAATGGGAATCTCTATATGTAATTACAGAATTTATCAAGGGTTGAATTTGTACTTTTTGGGCGATAATAATCATTTTTAGTTTTTACAAGCGATTTATCATTGTCTTCTTCTTCAAAAAATTGTTCTGTTAATTCCTTAATTTTAGTCTTCTAGAGAATTCTGAAACATCAGCTTTCATTTTTGCTACATTTGGTTTTTGGAGTGTTGGTGTGAATTTTAGTCCTTTACATAAGATGTCTATTTGTGGAGGTGTTAAATGATTTTTGGAAAAGGTTGGTTACTTTCGGTTTCTCGTGGTTGTGGACCATCCCATGTTCATGTACTTCTGGTCTCACTCTAAAAAATGTTTATTAGGGTGGGATTCCTCTATATTGATTCGAATGTTTTTATGTTGTTGTGTTTGGAATTATTATGTATTTCTGTATTGTATCTGTTGTTCTGTCTCTACTAATTTTTAGTCAATGTGGGGTTATTTTTGTAGTTCCGATTATGTCGTCTGTTTTCTCTGAAGTTGTAGTTTCTATTTGTTGTTCTGTTGTTATATATATTTTCTTTGTGCTTGTTTTTTTTTCTGGGGTGGTACTGACTTTGTCCGGAATTGTTTATGTATATCCGAAGTTTTGCAGTGTTATCTCCCCTTGTTGGTATATTTATGTATTGAAACGATGGTGGTTGTCTTATGGGATTTCTGATTCGCCTTTTTTCAAATGTTTAGGCTGAATTTTGTCTATTGTATAATTTCCTTTGATGACTTAAATATTTGTGTAGCGTGGTGGCGGTATGTTTTTTTCGTGCGGTTTCAGATTTACTTTCTTAAAAATGGATTTTCTTCGCTGTATTCTATTTTAAATTGTTTTTCATAGTTTGAGCAACAATTTTCGTTTTTCTCCCATCTCCGTAGTAAGATTAGTTCGTCGTTATCACATTCTTGTTTCCATTGTTTATAAATATCGTCTAGTGAATAACCAAGGTAGTTTTTAGAGATTTCAATTCTCATTTATTTATTAATGTCCTTGCATTTTTTTCGAGTGATAGTTTTTTCTGTCATAATTGTCTGTGTTGTTCTGGTTTCCTGTTGATCAGTTTTAGCCATTCTTTCCTTGGTAATTTCTTTTAGAGGTTTCAGTATTTCGTCATTTGTGTTTTTGTCTGTTCTTCTATTTTAGGTGGCATTTTTCGTGATTTGTAAAGTGTTTGATAGGCAAAAGAAGTGAAATTGTTAGAAAAGTCAGTATAAAAACTTGTTCAGAGAAAACAAAGATTTGGACAACACCTGATATTTATATGTATTTATTTGTAATATATATAATACATTCATTTTTACAGAGAAATATTAAAATTAGAATTGTGTTAATTACAACTAGGTTTTGGGAAGAATTGTCTTTCTTACTTTTTCGGTTTCGCTTTTAGCTTTTCAAAACATTTGTAAATGTTTATATTCCATATTTATATTTGTTATATGGACTGAGTAAATAAAAAAAAATCAAGGGGCGTGACTGGTTTTATATGTCATTTATGGCAAGGAAAATAAGCTAGAATCTATTTTGAAGGATTACCTAAAGTACAAAAAAATGAACTCATCAGCGAAACGTAAATATAACAAAATTCAATTGTATGAATATATCGACACCAATCGACCTAAGACGAAGACCTATAATAGCAGGCCTAATTTCCGAGATACACCGCCTAAGCAATTTCCTAGACATCTTATTGAAACCTCTCATCAAACACGTTCGGAGTTTCGTACGAGATAATCTAGATTTTCTCAATCATCTACTAAACGAGGCAAGCCATAATACTTACATAGTCTCAATGGATATTGTGAAACTATATAGCAACACCCAACATGACTACGGACTAGAGGTTACTAAATACTAGTAAATAAATAATAGTCAACCTGGCAGTGTGTAGCTTCTCATTGAGATTGACCAAAGCGGGATACTCCTTCTTTAGTTTGTCGTATACATTGGTCTAGTTGCGGGCAAAACAGTTTAGCGTTGATGGCGCGACCGCGTGGAACAAGCTTGAAAGGCAGTACTCATGAGAAATTCTATCAGACGGAGATCATGACCTTCTATTCAAACCGATTCCGTTGTTTTCTTTCCGCTTCCTAAGTGAGTCAGGAATTTCTGGCCAGCCTCGTTATTCATAAATATATGTGTGCTTTAATGAGAGTTGTTATAAGAAGAGATGCTGAGAGTACCATAGACGAAGTGCAAGAAATCTTAAAGAATATGGAAACAGAAAGGTCACTTATACAGAAGAACGAGAAATCATAAATTTATTGGACACATGAGGAGGAAAGATGGCTTGTATAATTTGGCACTCAAAGAATATATCGAATTGGCACGACACATACATGAAGAGAAAGAGAATGTGCTATATGTTTTTGACACGATACCGTATTGAAGATTTACACGTGGCGTAAATTAAATCGTATAAAGTAAATCAATTTTAATTTTTTTTTTATTAAATTTCTATATAAAATATATATGTATTTGTGTGTGTTTGAGATGAAGTAGGAAGAGAGAGAGAGAGAGAGAGAGAGAGAGAGAGAGAGAGAGAAAAAGAGAGAGAGAGAGAGATCCTGCTAGGAACAGTGATGGGAAAAGATTTACTGAAGTTTCTTTCTCGAGCGTTTGGGGTGTGTCAAGAAAATAACTGATACACAAATATAAATATTTCACGTGAAACCTATTAGAACATGGAATCCCATTTCTTTTTTTTCTTTTCTTTTTCTTCTCCCCCCCCCAACCAGAAAGGCTTTGCAAACAATGATCGGTGGACGGTGCACCAGCATATTACTAACGTCTTAGAGATTTAGGGGTTACAAAATTACCATATACATAGTTTGCAAATGGGAAGAAAGGGCCTCTGAGATTATACTCTTAATCTTTTGTTTCTTTAAACGGTTTACAACGGAAAACCGAAAACAGTTTAGCATTTAAAGACTTTTATTAAATGAGACAGAATTGGTAACACCTGAGGTATGTCAAAATGCGATTCGATTCTCCATATAAAAATTTAGAAATTTCGCTGTAATAATCGTAGCTGATATTTGTGAAATATCAATTTGTCTGAATTTCTAGGATTATGAGTTATCATTATTTACATTATTTATATTTGGACTATTATCATTATCTTTGTTGTTTCGGTCGGTGTTCCTCCGGCCTTCCTCGAGTGTATGTTGACCTGGGTAACCTACAGGGAATTATGAAATGAGCAACCTCGGAACTAGTGGATAAAAGAGTTTATTTTTGAATTTGGTGACATCGTGGTCCTGAGTTCAATCGCTGGGTCGGGCAGTGTGCAATAACTAAACTGTACTAAATAAAAATAAAGAAGTAGATGATATACCTAGACCTGTTCCTTAGAACGAGAACTGTCTCCTCCCGTAGATTAAATAAAGGGTTCACTTGTAGTTTTCCCTGATCGATATACATCTGAGGAAGTCTTCAGGGCACAAGACCGAAACGTTGTCATAACAACAACAAAAATGAAGACAATAGCCCGAATATAGTGTAAATAACAATTTTAACTATTTTTTTTATTATTTTTCTTATGTCAAAGATGTAGTAGTTACTTTGCTTACAACTTGACGAGGACTGCTCCTCTTATGTTGACTCAAGAGGATTTAGTGGCATAGCGATAGAGGAAGAACCTTTTAACCAATAACAATTTTTGCACTGTTGGTAAAATGGTGTCTGACATGAAAGTGCGTCTGAATCAAAGGTGTGTCCTTGAGCACATCAATGCAGATAAATTGCACCTACTGACAATTATCGGCTTTTGGTGAATATTTACGGAGACTAAACAGTGGATGTAAACACTGTTAGGTCGTGAGAAATGCGATCAAGTAGTGAAGGGAATGATGTGTATGTCAAACCACGTTCCGGGCAAAGCTGCACCATTATGAAATAAATTTGGTTTTGTTTAGCAGCATATCAACATGTAATTATGAAATAAGCAGTGTGTAAAAAATGAATAGTAAATGAGAATGATTATAGTGGAGAAAATAGGGCTTTGTGGTTGAAATCTTGCTCTATTCAGAAGTGTTATTGCGTTCCATGTAGTTTCGATAAAATAGGAAGTATTAAGTCCAAAACGTCTCTCCCTCTTTCACTATCTCTCTCTATATATGTATAATAAGGCACGGAGGAGTAATGGATAGCGGCTTGGATTGAGGAATCGGAGAGCCGAGTTCGAATTCCAGTCGAATCCATTACATTCACTTACGTGCTAATAACCTTGGGAAAGGTATGAATTCTTTTCTTCTCCCACCCCCACCCTATGGGTAAATAGCAGGATGGAAACTGGTCTAGGAGAAGGACATCTCTGCATTCAAAACCTGCGGAGGGTCTTTTGGGAACCCTGTGGCACGTAGTGCGCCAAGTCTCTATATTCGGCCCTTCAACAAGTGTGGATGGTTCTGCACAAAACCTTCACCGCTATAATCACATCTCATGTGATGGTGTCGGGCTCTCAGTTTCTGATCTGCTTGACCCTTATACGTCGACGGGAGAGTCGAGTATATATATATATATATATATATATATATATATATATATATATGTATGCATATTGTGTATGTGTGTTTGTATGTAGAGAAGCAAGCACTCTACATAAAACATCTGGCATCCTATATTAATCTCACTTTATTTAACAACGGAAATAAAGTGATAAAAGCTATTTTTTAGGTACAAGGACACCAAAGCCAACACTATTTTCAGTCACGTTCTTTTCGTGGGGCTCAAAATAAACTCTGCTACTATATAGGCATCACACAATTATATCCTAGAAATACATCCACTGACACTGACCCGAATGCCAGAAAAAACTCATTTTCTGTGTGTCAAATCCATATATATGTGTGTACATGCGTGTTTGTGTGAAAAAGTCGAAAAAAAGTTCTTGATATATAAAAATACATATACTGTTATCCCATATATATATATATATATATATATATATATATATATATTAATTAATTAAAAAAAATTGCTATATTCACGATTTGACCAAGGAAGAGTGCTCAATATCGGACATATTGTCTATAGATGTAGGGATTTAGTAAGCTAAGTTTAGATGTGGTGAAAGTATAAATCACCCAGTTAGGATCGAACTCACTGCTCAGTCGTAATTGATCTGGCGAGGCAAAAATGCTAACCATTACATCAGGTCGAAGCGCCAAATCGTTTGTCGTATAAACAGTATTAACATCGAAAGCAACTAAATTGAGTGATCATCAGCCTGAGGACACACACACACACACGCACACACACAACCCTGCCCTCACACTTCTTATTATAAATGTTATTTTAGTGGGTTTGAGTTGCTCTCAGTTTTATTTTTCTTAAACAGTGAATTTAATAACAACCGGTCTGTTCTTTGTTATTTAAGCTCCGCCTTCTCTTCTTTTCGCCCTTCATTATTTTTTTTTTTTGAGGAGGAGGACATAACGCGAATGGAGTTGTTTTGCGCGCTCTTCTCTCTATTATTTAATCCCTGTTTAAAGTTGAGGCTCAAGACTAGGCGTGTTTCGCAATCACTTACTGCCGGACTGACTTTGATTACCCTTGAGTCGAAGAAATTTTCGACAAATTACAGGGTTGATTTAGAACAAGAGAAGCAGGAGAAACGGTGACTTACCATTATTAGCAGAACAAGGAGAAATAAGGATGTTAAAAAGGTAAAAAAATTACATAGAACAACAAGATAGGAAGTTGTAGAGAGGCATGATCGCCCCCGACCTGAAAGGACACGGAACATAAATTCAAAGAATAATTATTTTTACTTCTAGAAAAATTTTTCATTTCTAATTACTTTTAATCACAAGGTGTTCGTTTATTCTAATATTTCCAGATAATTACTACCCGAACAGATATTGGGTGTGCGGGGGAGAAACTGGGTTGAAACTTGAAAAGTCAAACAAAACGTAAGAGTGCTATTCCCATCGTTTCGGCCGTTTATGCTCCGGCCTTCTTCAGGTGATTGGAATTTCGGATCGAACCCTTTATTTAGTCCACTGTGGGAGATTGTTTCGGAAGAGGCATAGCAGGTGGAACTAGAAAAATCTAACCCGGTGTACGAAATAAAGGTTTCGGTTCGAAATTCCAATCACCTGAAGAAGGCCGGAGCGTAAACGGCCGAAACGTCGTGAATATGGCAATGAAGATGAGGATAACAGTCCGAATAATGTAAATAATGTCAATAATTATCAGATATAGACAAAACGTAAGAAGTGAAAAGAACAAATTCTTTGCAATAGATTTTTTAAAATTCTTTTTAGTTTCTTCTTACTGATATTAATACAATCAGCCTGCCATTAGCTGTCGCTTGAATCTGAAAACTATTAAGAAACACATTCGAGAAGGAAAGAAATATTTTGACTAAGAAAAAAATGAATAATATTTGTCACGTTTCTGCGTACAAAATGTCGACTAATGATTCATTCTCAATAAAAAGGAAACATAAGGTAGTAATTTCTGTGTGTGTTCATCTGGATAGTATTTTTGGACTTCTTTTTAGATGATAAGCGTGGGTGTAACTATTAATAAGACATTTAAGTCCGCGTCAGATGTGCAGATAGCGTAACTGTTATCAGCGCGGAATCAGCGAACCAAGTTCAAATCCCGGCTTATTTTGCTGCATTCACTTTCGCAATCTTAAAGTATAAATGCATTTTTTTCATAAAACCAAGCTATAGGCTAAGTAACAGGATAGAATGTGGTTCTCTCATTTTGATTGATTGGTTGATTCATTTTCTACGGTTTATCAACCATTTGGAGGTTATTTAAAGCCAGAAAATATTTTTAGATTGTAAGAACTTTTTTTGTTGTTGAAATAATACTGCTTTAGTGATACAAGTCTTACTAATTAACCTTTTAACGAGGGAAGGGAGATGCAATCATACCTTTCCCCATGGATATTTACGCTTAAGCGAATATAACGAACACAAAGGGAATTGGAACTAGGATCTCCGATTAAAAGTTCCGAGTCATTATCCATTACACCAGGGATCGGCAACTCATTCGACCCCGCGGCCGGATCGTGTTATAATGACGAGTCGCGGACCGGACGAAGGCCATTAATGAAAAATTAAGGAAAATTACATATGCAGACCCCCTGTCAACCTAAATATTTAAAATTATAATGAAAATAAACATTGAGAAATCAGAAAAAACAAAAGAAAATCTAAAATTAAAAAAACACCTAACAAAAATTACTTTTCTTCAAGGAACGTCAAAATACTTCAAAGTGAAAAAAATCGACCGAAGTGAAATGGATGAAATTATGACGTGTAGGTTTGAAACTGTTATTGAAAATTGTTCCACAAACGAACCACACACACACACACACACATCAAACAAAAACGAAGCACATATACCCATACATACGAGTACAGATAGTTGCAAACATATACACTTACGTATGTACACATGCGGTAACATCTACACATTCATGAGGCATGTATGTATAATGTCTTTAGATTTCTGCTACCTCGCATGTCAGTCCCTCCCTGGCCTCTTTCACTTTATCGTTCCTTTCGCTTCTGTTACCTTTTGATTTAGCCAAGGGTCATAACAAATATGTATCCATTATTTGACATTAAACGTAGGCAACGCAACTTGGTAAAATAAGTCTCATGAAAGATAACTGGCAGATAGTCTAACTCGAAAGCCTCGTCTCATGTTAAAAATAAAGTCATTGGTAATCAGGCTCGCGGGTCGGTCAAAATGCCTTCGCGGACCGGATCCGGCCCGCGGGCCGTAGGTTGCCGACCCTTGCATTACACCATCC